CCCCCCCCCACCCACAGATTTTTTACACGGCAGGCAGCTGTATGAGCCCAATCTTGCGCGTTGACTAGAACGTACAAACTGGAAAAAAACAGAGCAGCTAAAAACTCAACACTGGACCTCCGGCAGGAGATGACGAAACCTCCGTTGGTCTCGTCAACGGCGACGACAGTCCTCAAGTCGTCAAAAGCTTCCCGGCCGCGGCCGATTAACTGATTCAATTTTGTTTCGAGTTGTTGGACTTGGAGGGAAGTGGAAGGGCGTCTTAGGGTTATTTGGAGGCCGTCATCGGAGAGCTTGAAAATAGTGGGTGCGAATATGGGCGTGTTCGCCGGAGTAGGGGAGTATTTGAGGAGGCGGCGGCGATGGTGGCGGCGGGGGATGGCGGAGGTGACAATAGCGCGGCGGAAGCGACACCGGTGTGAGCAATTGAGGTTCATGGGCGGTGGAGGAGACGACAAGGCGTAATAGTTCATCTAATGTAAGGCCGGAAGATAAAAAAACAATGGGTAATGGGAATTTCCAACTCTAAAACAAAACAAGAAAAATAAAAATAAAAAATAAAAAATATTGTAACATGACAATTTATTTGCCAAAAAATCTTAAATTCATTTGTGACATTATAATAATTATTATTGTGCATGGACAAATTTAAAAAAATAATATTTTTTTAATAAATATACTATCAAACATAAATATAGATTAACAAATTCATTTGCCACACATGACGTAAATATCGAAATCAACAATATATCGTCCCTATTAAACGAGTTCGTATCACCCAAATGAGACGGTAGGTCGAAAATTTACCAAAGAATGCACGAACTTAAACAAACCAATACAAATCACATTGTTTAAAAAGAAGCAAAATATATGTTTAAGAACTGAAACCACAAACCCTTTCGACTCGGGGGGAAAGAAAAAAAAAAAAAACAAACTCAATCCATATCCATCGATCCATTCGGTCATGATTTATAAAAGATATTCACTACCAACACCAGAAATGGAATCACAAGTACAAATCCAACAATTTCTCGAAATCAGAGAAACGGAAAATGAAAAAAAATAAAAATATTGTGTCGAAGGGAGTGCCGAAGTGATCAGTGAAAGGTCATTATGCAGGCCCAAACTGTGCAAACACACAAAAAAAACAAACACAAAGAGCTTCCGGAGTTTAAGGGTGCTGGATCTCAGGAGCAGGTACAACTGATTTCAACAGAGGCTGAAGCGCCTTCACAACAATACTCATATTCGGGCGAAACTCAGCTTCATACTGCACGCACAATGCTGCAACTGCTGCCAGCTGTATAACCAAAGCATATTATTATATGTACATATTGTGTGTGTGTGTGTGTGTGTGTGTGTGTGTGTGTGTGTGTGTGTGTGTGTGTGTGTGTGTGTGTGTTTGTGTGTGTGAATGTGTGTGTTACAGAGAGAGAGAGAGAGAGAACCTTGGCGACCGCTTTAGCTGGATACTCTCCCTTGAGTTTTGGGTCAACACACTGTTTGACTTTGTCCTCACTCAGTCTTGGAGTAGCCTAACAGAAGAATAAGAAGATATGGGGTTTAAAACGAGATTTATCCATGCAACAAGCAATTCCGAAAACAATTAAGAAAAAAACAGAGAACTTTTGAGAGCAAATAAAAAAGGGCATGTTACAAAAAAACCCCTGAACTTAGGATATATTACAAAAAAACACCCTCCCCTATCCATAATTACGAAAATCCCCCCGTGTAAGACGGAAATAGAAGTTGGGGGGATTTTGTTAATTATTGACAGGTGGGGGTGTTTTTCATAATTAAGCCTAAGTTTAGGGGGATTTTGTTAATTATTGGCAGGTGGGGGTGTTTTTCATAATTAAGCCTAAGTTTAGGGGGGTTTCGTATTTGACCCAATAAAAGAAGGGGTAACTGACCCAAGTAACAAGACTCTGTTGACCACGAGGCATGGTATGATCAACAGGCTTCCTTCCAGTAAGGAGCTCAAGCAGAACAACTCCAAAGCTATAAACATCACTCTTCTGTGTCAATTGCCCTGTCATTGCATATCTGCACAAACACACACTATCGTTATACTCCCGACCCACTGTTACCACTTTTTATTGCAGTAAAGAGAAAATACATTACTAATTTCACATCCATTATTGGACAAAAAACCAGACACTAAACTTCACAAGGACTTTTATCAAAGGTTCATACCATGAAGCACATTTCTAGTTCACATTTCAGCCAAAGGTTAACGTGTTGTTGCAACAACTTGGAGATGGTTCTAATAAGGATTTTCCTGCAAAGTAATATACAATAATTGAAAGACCTTGCCAAGTTTGTCACTTGATTCTTTGCTTGACCTTATTGGCAGCCACATTTTCACCTCACCTTCTCGTCATTACAGACTAGCAAATAGCCATCCTAACAGGAATATCGAGTATTTCGGAGTTTACCATAAGCAAGGTTGGCTTATATTGGATACTACTGAATCCCCTAATGAGAAAATTTCTTTTTCATTCAGAGATTACAGTAAGGTGGCATCAGTTTAAGACACTGGCTATTGGATAACTTAAAACATTTACTAATGCTTCAGCTACATATCCTAATTCAATCATTTAATGTCCATCAAGACTTCCAAACGAGTCTGAGGGCATAGATAATGTAGCAAGATGCAACGAGTGAATTCGATGCTCATAATCATCAAATGTTATCCCGAACATTTATTCTTCACAGAGATGCAAAAGAATCTTTAAAAAAATAAAGAGATGTTCAGAGCATTACTCTGGAGCATGATAACCAAAGGTTCCAAGCACACGAGTAGAGTGGAGGCGGGCAGCCATGTCAGGAGCCTGATTTGAAAGGTTAAAATCTGCAATTTTGGCTTTGTAGTCTTCAAACAAAAGTACATTACTGGATCTGATATCTCTGTGAATCATTGAAGGCTGAGACTTTTCGTGCAAATATTCCAGTCCCCTCGCAGCATCAACAGCAATTTTCACCCGTTGCATCCAGTCAAGTACAGGACCAGGTTGTGCCCCTTGTACTCCTTTCCTTCCTGCAATAAAAAGAAAAGGTTTTAGCACTTCAAATAAGTCCAGAAAATAAAGCTAATTAAGACCAAACATACCGTGCAAAATGTCATGTAGAGATCCCATGGTGGCAAACTCATAAGCCAAGACACGGAGACTGCCATCTACACAGTAACCAAGCAATTCAACAAGATTGTCATGCTTCAATCTTGACACCATGGAAACCTATACAGAAGTCAGAGGCATTACCATTTATGAACGGTCAATAGGCACCATGCAAAAAATTATTGCATTACGAATTTTTTCGATTTAAGTATACCTGTGTCAAGAACTCAACATTTGAATCAGGCTCAGATGACACATCAAGTTTCTTGACAGCAACCTCTTTTCCATCACTCAATTGTGCAAAGTATACTCTCCCGTACGATCCTTCACCAATTAATGCCTTTGACCCGAAGTTTTCGGTTTTCTCTTTCAGTTCCTCAAGAGACAAAGAAGGCACCTCGATGGGAGGTACAGCCCTCTGAACTTCGGGTTTCACTGGAGCCGATGTCTTAGAGCCTCTTTGGTGCCCTAGTTTTATAGATAGATAGGACCAAAAAACAATTAAATTATGTTATGAATCTCAATGGAATCAAGAGACATAGAGGATAAAGAAAAGTTAATTCATAAGTTATCCTGAAATCCTATTTAAGTTCTAAAATTATATTAAATACAAGGTAGAAAGAAACATCAATAAAATGCACAACGTGCATATCGATATTGAGTAATGAACCTGCCAAAACAAATATTGAATAAAATGCATCTCACCTGCCAGCCAGCCCAAAAAGATGATGAGATAGACGCTGGTTTATTTACACCTATGTTCACTAATTTGTCCATTTGGGTATAAGAAAGACACTTTTGGCACACCATAACATAAAAGTTGAACGTCGATATAGCATTATAGCTTCTTCATACAATCTCATCCTGTTGACTGATTACATTTAAATTAACAGAATAAATAATGCTCCACAACAACAGACATTGAAGCAAAAGACAGTATACAATCACCATATTCAACGCAGTCCTACCAATCTAGTAAACAGATTATTATCACTAAGCTGATAATTTATATACGGGAGAAAGCAATAGGGAGAAAAAATAATCAACCATATCAAGCAAACTGCAAATAAAAAACCACACAGTTTAACTTATTGTCAAGAGAAGTACAATATAAAGACATGCATGCATCTTCTATAAGCAGTAATCATTTCATTCATTTCTATATTCAAATTGTATTGAATATGCCAAGAAAGAAAAAACTAGGATAATATATATACTAATAGCAGCTAGGCGTAATGCTAAAAGATATAAAAGACTTACCATCAGCATTATTCCTTGGGCTTTTGAGGTGCTCATTTTCGTTCTGTTGATAAGACTCCTCTACATGACAAGTGCAGCACAGCCACCTACGCATCCTTGTTCTCTTTTTCAAATAAGGATCTTCTTCAACAGTCTTGTTCTCCAAGCGCACAAAATAAC